TATATATATATATATATATATATATATATAAAATAATACATGTTCAAATGAGAACGATAAAAAGTTATATATGTTTGACTAGAATTATAAATGGATGGAACATAACATGTTATGGTTGGTGTAGTAATTAAGTCTTTTTCTTGTTTTGGGTTAGACCGTGTGGGCTTCACGAAAGCATAATTCAAGAAAAAGAAGCAAGAAGTCCCCCATTCCTAAACTCAAAAGAGTTTGTGCCATTTGGAATTTCCAAATTTCCTAAACGGGGAAAACAACATTTTTACATTTTTTCGAGATAAATGTCTATAATGGTAGATACGAGTTGATATCGTTTTCTTGGTATATGCACATATATTATGGTTTTTTTGGTAGATCTTGACGACGTTGTTGGTGGCTGGATGTGGAGCCGCAACTGCTGTTGCTCAAGTGGGCAAGTATGGGAACACCCACGCGGGTTGGATGCCGATTTGTGACAACTTTGGGAAGTTTTGCCACAAAGTTTCGGCTTCTTTGATCTTGGGCTATTTAGCGATGCTTTGTTATCTTCTTCTTACTGTCATCTCTGCAAATAAAGCAAGACAAGTATCGGTATGAAGGAACAAGAAAATTGGAAACAAGATTGCGGCATGTATGACATGTGATGGAATTACTAAAATGTCCCTTGTGGAGATGGGGTACTACTTCTAGTACTAGCTAGCTTTTATATGACTTTGTAAGTTTAGTAAGTTAGGATGTTTTTAAATTAATCTGAACAACTGTTCTGTTTTTATCTGTTTGCAATCCTTAGGTCATTTCTCTCAAAAGACGAGATATATTTCTTCGTTGCCTGTTGCTTTGTATCTAATAGATACTAAAGTAATGGTATCAGTGTTTCTTTATATGACATCACAAAGAAAAGAATGTTCCATTTGAATCAATAACACAACCAAAATGGTTAAATTCAAATTCCGATCCAAAAGAGTGGTGGCCAACATAGACGGACCTAGAGAGGTGGTTAGGTAGCACTTGCCACCGTATTGTTCTTCCGTGGTAAGGTAAAAAAAATAGGTTCGTGAAAGTTGCAACCGTTTTATTTTAGAAGGTACAACCGTTTTATATGGTGCCACTGTATCCAAAAAATTTGGGTCCGTCCCTGGTGGCCAATTCCATATATGAGTGCATGAATATCCTTTAACCTACGACATAGGTGTATTTCAAGAGGTATTCGTCCACCGCTTTATAATAATTATTATTATTTTGTCAAAAAAGGTGGATAAACTTGCCTAATCGGCCATTTTTCGTTTTGACATTCAAATTTAAACCATTTGTTTAATCCAATTCAAAAGTGTTCGTTTTAGCAACTTTGTTCTTGAGATACATAAAAGACTCGAGGCTCGATGACTGATTATGGGTTTGGCCTATCATTTATGTATGGTCAAACACGGTTCGGCTTGGTCTGAGACCGATTGGGACTGGTTATGGCTCAACTGTTCATGACTAGTTACAAGTTTTTCAGAAAAATTAGGTTTGGCATGGTCTAGTCTAGGACCAGTTATGCATAGAGATTGAATTTTTCAATGTAAATTTAAATTATTTAAAGATTTCTACAAACTGTGATACAAGCCTTTCAATACTCAATTTCAAAAATCATAATCATAAAAACTTGTACAACACTTTTGTGTAAGAAGATTTTAGAAAATAGTTGATTTTGGTCGGAATAAGATTTGTGACTAGTTACGAAGGAACGAGACCAATTGTCTGGCTGATGATCACTCTCACTGTTTTTGGTCGAGACCAACCGGTCCAGTTACAAACCAACTTGTTTGGATCGGTTTTTTTTAGCATCTCTAACTAGGATCAGACCACTGGTTACAAAAAGACCCAATTACTAAGGGACTAGTTATAGACTTGGTCCAAAGATCATCAAATATATACAAACCTATGAATGTTTCATTTGTAATGATGGTAATAATAATTCTTGTGTAAAAAGCGCATGATTCTTTGTGTTCGATTATTTTGATCTTGTGCTTGAAAAGATGGGATTTGACAATAAATGGCGAGGGTGGATTGTTGGATGCTTAATGAAATCGACGAGCTCGGTTTTAGTAAATGATTCACCAACAAAAGAATTTGATATCTAAAGGGGGTTGAGACAAGGGGACCTGTTGTCTCCTTTTCTTTTCATTTTGACGATGGAAGGGCTTAACGCGACCATGAATGAGCGATTGAGAAAGACTTGTTTGGGGGAGTGCGAGTTGGTAATAGTCAGTATCATCTTTCTCTCCTTTTTTTTTGTGCGGATGACGCGATCTTTCTTGGGGATTGATCTCTTCAAAATTCTAGGAATGTTATCCGTATTCTTAGAGTTTGTGCCGTTCAATGAGGTAATGGAAGTTGCGACTTTAGTAGGTTGTGCTCATTCGAAATTGCCTTTTTGCTATCTAGGATTACCTGTTCGAGAAAGTATGTCCAAGTCCCAAGTATGGGAAGGTGGTGGTTGATAAGTTCCTTGCCAAACTGTCGAATTGGAAGGTTAAAACCTTGTCTGTGAGGGTGTGTCGTACCCTGCTCAAATCGGTGTTGGGAGTCTCCTGATATACTATATGTCCTTGTTCAAGATGCCATCTTCGATTGTCAATGCTGGAATCCATTCGAAATCGATTCTTTGTGGGAGGTGAGATGGATGATAATAAGATGTCTTGGGTTAAATGAGATAAAAGTACTGCTAGCAAAAAAGATAGGGGTCTTGGCCTGGGAAATTTATTTGCATTTAATAGGGCCTTACTTTTTAAATGGGTGTAGAGATTTAGAGTTGACCAAGAGGCGTTGTAGGTTAAAGTGATTCAATCAATACATGGTGCAAATGGCCGGATTGGATCGATTTTGTCTTCTGTGGGTTCGAACTCAACACGATTAGCGATTTTGAAGGCTTATTTGTTTTTCTCGTGCTCTTTGGCGATGGAGATTTGGAGATAGATTGGTGGATGGTGGCATTTGGATATCCCGGTGTTAGTTCCTATGCTGTTCGGATTACCTGGTTTTCTAATTTGTGGTTGAAGAGTGTGGAGAAACTATGGTTTGAGGCAGTTATTCTCACGGTGCTTCGGTACATATGGGCGTCCGAAATATGACCATTTTTCGCTAGACCAAGCTAAAGGAGGCGGATATCTTTGACAAGATTGTGACTCGTGCATTTTTATGGGTTTCCAACAGGAGTAGCAAGTTTAAGATTAATTGGGTGGGTTGGTTTTATAACCCCTTCCTGGTTATTTCCTATATGTAATTGTTTGTTCTAGCGTCTTACTAGTTTTTTTAATAAAATCTCGCTAATGTTAAAAAAATATGTAAGCTTTGTTGATGAACCTAAATTATAAATTTGGTCGGAGTGATTTGTCAAAAAAACATTTTTTGTCTCTACAGTTTCGAGATCACAAGATGACCATCGTAGTTTTACAAAAACACGTTCGGATTTGCTCCTTTCCTCTAACGACCATTAAAAAAAATTGTTAAAAATGAGAGACTTTTTCGTGCTTTTATCCATTTTTTTGTCTTCTACTCGATCAAAATCAATTTTATAATTTTGGTCCGTGTGATTTTTGATTGGGTAGAAAACAAAATGATTGATAAAATGCTGAAAATGTCTTCATTAGACTAGATGGATGGCTGATATTAGTTTTGACTAATTTGTACTAATATAACAGTTTGTAAATGACGGATCAATAAAACACAGTTTGATACATCTGGTTCCATTAGTCACGGGTGATGATTACTTTATGAATTTGTAATTAACAATTCTAAAAAATCCAAAAACTTTATCAAACTAAAATAAATTAGAAATTTATACATAAATCATCAATAACAAATTGACATTCTTGTTTGATCTTTTACAATGACGAAATGACGACAAAAAAAGAAATTCAATTTCGTTTGTCACAATTTAAGATTTATTAATCACCCAATTATTCTGAAATCTTGTTGATATCTCTGTAGTGACAACTGACAAGATTAATAATAGATCGAAAGATAAAACTATCAGTACAATCGTTGAACATATGGGTTTGTTTGATATCAGGAAATACATTTAACACAAAGAATCAAAACCGAAAATGATTTACCAAATATTCCAAAAGAATTGGAATAATAATGATTGACCAAATATTTCACGATTATTCTATTTTAAATTATAGAAACTTTACTTGTATTATTTAGTTCTGAAACTATTCTATGCCTTGGCACTTATTCATTAAGAAGTTGTTTGGTTGATTTTTCATTAAGTCATGTATGAATAAAATTGTTTAAGTAGATTAATTTGTATGTATAGATTGAATTATTTTTGTTTGATATGGTTTCTTAGTAGATGAAAAGACCATGTTTTCTAACTGAGAGGGACATGTTTGGAAAAACTTGGCGTTCTGTACAAACTCCTAGAAATTTACAGAATAAGGGGCCGTTTACCAAACACTTACCCGGTAAGTGCTTACCGGTAAAATTTAACACTATTATTTACGTACCGGGTAAAATTTTAGCCCACCAAAACGACATTGTATGCAACAATTTACCTGGTAAGCACTTACCGGGTAAGATTCATATCCTTATCTCGCTCTTACAGGGTAAGATTTTTGGTCCTTACCATATTCATCCAGTGAGGTAACATGACTTGGTAAGCACTTATCCGGGTAAGTGTTTGATAAATGGCCCCTAAAAGGTGTTACCCGGTAAGAAGGATGCTATTTACAAACACACTCCGACTCCAATATGCAGACCCAGTAAGGAAGGGGATGTTTTCTTATACAGTCGGTGTTTTAGCCCGTGCTTACCCAGACAGTTGGTAAACAACCATTTTCAGTCGACGCTTACCCTGTCCACACTTTTACTCGGTTAACGCTTATGAAATGTGTATTTGGTAAAAACGGTCCTTCGTCTATATTATTATGTGCCATCTAAGAAAGAAAAGAGTCATTTGCAGTTCTGCACATGCATTTGTCCTCACCAAAACTCTGAAAGAAATCAATGAATTGATCATAAAAAAACAAGCAAGCAACAGAACATTAGAAGACAAGATCCACCCCTCTGCCTTAACTCACTTCAAATCTCAGATTACTTAACGATATTGTGAGCAACAAGACCAACCTTATTCTACGTTTCTAGTTCATCTTCAGCGAAATGAAAGCCTATGATAATGTAAGATTGTTTTGTACAACATAATAATGCATAAAGTACCAATTCATGTAGGTCCTTATTTGTTGGGAAGAATAGAACAAAGGCACATGGTCTTGAGCCGACAATCATTGAAGCCAAGGAGGACACTATACATCTGTAAATTGACACTTTGATCAACAAAATTGGGAAATTATTAATGATGAATTTCCACATCGTTACCAACCCTTTACAGGGATATTCATAATGAATAAAACTTCAAGAGCTCAAGAAACTTTTTCCAACCATAATGTGCAAGTAAAGCCAATAGGTCAACTCTAAAGGGAAAGCTCCTTCTACCTTCACTAAAGTAATCAACTTTTGTATCACAGTTTTCAAAGGGTATCATACGCATATAGACTTTAAGGGCATCGTGGTCTAACCGTCGAGGTGAAGAGAGTCGTTCTCATGATATATTTCAGGGATCAATTGTGACCAAGCATTCCCACATCAGTAAACAATCTATTATCAGCACAAAAGATATTATCATAGAAAATCTTGACATATTGAGCTGCCATTAAAGAAAATAATTGTAAAGCAATAATGCCAGCAAATGAAAGAGATAGTTAAGGAACCTGTTGGCACACAAATAACTTTAAGTATATATCAAGTAATATGAATGTTATGCAATTATAGAATGTGCTTTATTGGATTTCCAGTTCAAAACTAGTTGTTAAATGCAAGTTGAGCACGAAAACGTATTCGCATAATAATGTTTTTTTTTTATTAACATGGATATCCAATCCGCTAAGTGAGCTGACTAATCTCAGGGCGACCACCAGCCCGGAGTCACCGCATTTGAACCTCCGTGGCCACAACGGAATTTTTGTTCCTTTTGGATTTGAACCTGGGACCTGACACTTTTGACTTTTGGAGCCAAGCGCAAACCAATCAGGCATCACCCTTGTGGTTTAATAATGTTATTAATACGGGCAGTTGGAACATGTATATAAAACACTTAAAAACAAGTGTAACACAACCCACAAACAGAAAATTAAAAAGTTAGTAAGTATAGAAGATAAAGAAATGAGGAGAAAGTCAATTGCAATTGATAATATTTATTGAATTATTGAGTTTTTGGTGGAAAAGATTACAATTTTAATTCAAGTTAGGCCACCAAACGAAGCTTTTAAGGATTATCTAAAGACAAATATATCTCAGCAGACTTTAGACTAATAAGAAAGCATTGACTTCTCAACTAAGATCACTACCAAGAAAGTTATGAACAATGGCAAAGGAACTACAAACAGCAAAAACAAACAAGATACACAAGTAGTGTAATACATACAGATTTTTGAGAAGGATGGATTATATCATCTTTAAGGCCTTGTGAAAACACCCCATAGCTTTCCACGACCGATGGTCTCCTGTAACTTCTTTGCACCTTCAACCTCCATTTCTACAAGCTTTTGTAAATACAACAAAGCACCTGAATTGACCATCTGTTTGCAGCAATTCTTCGAATGGCTTAGAGACAATAAAATTGAAACAGGGTATTTCTTATCTAAATTTGGTATGGAAGGATCTAAGAGCTGAACTGCATTCACTATCCCTCTTTCTTCCTTTCTGTAAATTCTTCGGTTTCCTGTATAAATCATGATTGTTGATAATGCCTTTGCGGCTGATTGTTTCTCCTCGATTGCTTTGCCCTCCAACATTGCTATCAATGGTGGAATACACCCATATTCGCCCAACTCTTTTCTGGCTTTCGTGTTACATCCTAGCCGGTAAATTGCCTTTGCAGACTGGATTCTCACTCCTAATACTCCACAGTTCAACACATTGATAATTCGCGGCAGGAACTCATCAGAAATAATGGGTTCCACCAGCCGTGGATCAGATGCCAAGTTTTTTAAGAATTCAACTGCCACCTCTAAGCTCCGAACAGCAGGAGCAGAATCCCAGAAAGTTTTTAAACTATCGAACGCACCTTTTCGAACAATTAACACTTTAAGATTATCATCTTCCCTAACCAGGTTACTCAAACAAGCAATCGAATATTCTTGCGCCAAAACTGTTCCGGAGCTAGCGAGCGTTAGAAGTACCGAAATTGCGTCTTCTTCGATAAAATTCTCTCTGGTATCAGAGAAACCAGCTAAATTTCGGAGTACGCCGGCGGCGATGGCTTGTGAGCTCGGAGTGCCAGCCAGGCAAATCTCCAACAGCGATGAAATCCCACCTCTTGACCCAATTGCCCTTGCGTTTTCTTTGGAATGGGATAGAGCCTGAAGAGCAATACAGGCCTTTTCTTTGGCGAACCCGCTACCGGCTTCGAGAATCCGGAGGAGATGATGGAGCAACAATAGACCTTCCGCGATTAAAACGTGTTTGCTCGAATCAACTGTTGAAACCCTAGCGATGGCCGTCACTGTTTTTTCTTTAATCTCCGATGTGGAGCTGGAATCCAGTAGGCGCACGAGCACGGGAACCACTCCCTGGGCCACAGCGATCAACACGTTTTTATCGTCTTCTTGGAGCAACCCAAGGAGCGAGTCAAGAGCCGAGTTTCTCGACTCGGTCGAACCGATCTGCAACCGAGTTATCAAATTCCTCGACTCGACTCGTATCGACTCCCTCTTTGAAACAGTGGCGGAGCTGGTGGACACAACGCCGTCGTGGAGGACGCCGCTTTTAATCAAGACCTCGCAATCCTTAATGTGACTATCCATTTTCGCTGAGATCGAATCGATGTCGTTTTGTGTCTTGAGCTTGCCGCCAGGAAGGTTGGCGCTGTGGCAGGTGAGTGACAAAGAAAGAGCTTGGGATAGGGTTTGAGAGAGGGAGCGGAGGATATCGACGGAGAGAGAGTTGGAAGGAAAGTCAGAGAGGTCGGAAAGTTGGATTTTGAGGTCGGAGAGCTTGGTTCCGATGATAGACCATTTTCCTTTGAAGGAGAGTGTTTGAGGGATTGAATCGAGTAGAGACTGAAGGAGTTGCAGGTTAGAAGCTTCGACGACGTCGGCCTCACTTTCCGACAGCTTCATCGCCGGCGGCGTCTTGGTCCTTGCAAAGACAGTTTGTTGAAGAAAAGAGGAGAGATATGACTACGCCAAAATTTCATGTTAATAATAGAGTTCGTTGATCGATGAACAGAATCACCCAAGCGCGCGTAAAACGCACGCGTTCTTTCAAACACAGGTCAAAAGTACGACCACGTCCGATAACTCTACAACCGACGCTGTGTTATCGATTTCTTTTTACGAAGGAAAAAGGGAAAATATTTCCTTTCCTTTTTGCTCTCAAAAATATAAATAAAAAAGGTTTACTTTGTTTTTCCTTTTAAAAATCCGAGAACAGAATACAAAAGTATCTTAGGGGTTGTTTGACAATTGTTGAATGGTTTGATACAGAATGTTTAAGAGTATTAAATGCAGAATGATTAATAGACTCTTATTATATAATGCAAAATGAAATATAATTGTTTGGTAATTATGTACAATGAAATTAGTGATCTTTATTTTTAAGAGAGATCCAATATACAAAATCATTCAGAGGGTTTCGGAACCATTAAGAGGCAGACTTTTTTCTTGTCAAACAAAATTCACCTCTTAACGATTCAAGTTTTGTCTTTTAATGGAACTATTAATAGGTAAACAAACAACCCCTTAAATGCAACGTTTTTATTAACAAAAAGTGAAGTGACTTGTATGAACTATCATTATATAAATTTTTTATCATGAAGTCTATGAGAAATGACATTTTCCTAGTTTTTTATTTTATTTTCTTGACTTTTTAATTATTATTAATGCTGAAAAAATCAATGGGACCCATAAAAACGAGATTCTTGTAAGAACTATTATAGTAGACTTTTAAGAGAGTTCTTAATTTGATGAGTTGAAGATGATGCAATAACAAAAAGTGTAAAAAAATGTTCTTATAAGAATCTCCATTGAAGATGCTCTAAAAGTACATCTCGGTTTTGAGTTGTTTGTTGTTTTTAGTTACAAGATTGGCAACTGGTATATAAATGATTTTTTAAAACTGAGAATCAAAACTTAAAATCTCTCTCTCTCTCTCTCTTTATATATATATATATATATATATATATATATATATATATATATATATATATATATATATATAGACTTGGGATCATGTGAGACCAATAATTTTTCGTGAGACCCGTTAGACCAATTTTCAACCCTTAGATTAGATTTACAATCGTCAGATCTGAACATTCATAAACGTCACGAGACTTCTCAATAATTACAAAATTGTCACCGTATAACTTTAGACCGTTAGATCATATGTTTATAAAGTTGATTAATGAACATAAATTGGTCTTACGGGTCTCATGAAAAACCCTTGGTCTCACGTGAACCCAACCCTATATATATATATATATATATATATATATTGAACTTTAACAGATTTTTTATTTTAGAGAATTTCAACATCTGCTATATTATTAAAATATTCAAGAAAAACAGTTTTGGTACATATTAAAAAATCATTTATATAAAATAATAATAATCCAATCTTATGGGTGAGAATTCATAAAATAAAAATAAAAAAAAAATCTTTCTCTACACAGTAAGTTTTAAAGGATCCTCTAAACTTTGGGTTTTCTCTATTTTAAAGAAGAGTATATAAATTTTGTTAGAGGATAATAAAGAATAAAAATATTGTTTTCTCTAATTTAAAGAGACAACTGAAAATGCTTATCTATATTATATTATAAAGCATTTTATAAAACTCTTAAAGACCATCTTTTATATATGAAATATTGTTTATTGATGCATATTACTTCAAATTTAAAATTACAAATAAATTGTGCGTAAATACAACTTATTAAGTTTCATGTTTGAATTTGTGTAACTGTAGATAAGTATAATCAAATACATGATAAATTTTTTATTTTAAATATAAAATCTAAGATATAATCAAGATAATTATTGAATTCTAACAGAATAATTATTTATTATCTTTATAGAAATTATATTATTAAACCAAAAGATAAATTACTTCTTAATTAAGCCTAAATTAAATTATAATCAAAAATTAAATTAAAGAAATTATATAAAAAAATGAGAACTTTTATGTTTTTTAAAAATTTTATGTTATTTTTAAATTTATATTTTATTAAGAAAAACATTATTACTTCATCAAACCACATAAATTCGTATTATAACATTGACAGAGACCAAAAAATTAAAATGAAACATTGAAATTCAGATATATCTCGTTGTATTGCGTAAATACCCTTCTAGTATCAATTAAATTATCTATCATACAACTATACATATTTATTTAAATTATTTCTTGTACAAAAAATCATATACATCAACATGTGTGTTTTTTTTATTATATTTTCATAAACTTCAATCTAACATAAAGTGTTCAAATAACATCTTTTATTTATTTATATGAATCGGTCAAAAGCCAAACAAGATTACGAGGCACGAACCATGTACTTGTATTACAGGTCATTTTTACGTCTTTTATATTTAACAAACAGATGAGAATAACTATTACTGTTTTTTTTTTTTTTTTGATAAACTTTATTAAGTCGTATCTCTATCTGTTAATATGATAGATGGGTCACGTTAAGAAAAAGGTGTATGTGCCTCGTGTTGACTTAGACACCGACATATGTTATAAAGGACAAATATAATACGCCAACGATTGACTTGGTTAGGTTGACTGGATCAAATTCAGATTAGATATATATTATTACGTCTTTTATATTTAATGAAAAGATGAAATTAATTATTATTGAATTTTTATTTTGATAAAATTTATTAAGCCATCTCTCGTTTGGGGTTATTTGGCAGTTGCTGAATGTTTAGATGCAAAATGATTAAGAGGCTCTCATGATATAGTACGAAATGAAATATAATTGTTTATAATAAAATTAGGGCACTGAATGGTTAAGGAAGACCCATAATACATAATCATTCAGAGGGTTTTAAAAATATTAAGAGGCAGACTATTTTTTGCCACACAATATTCACCTCTTAACGATTTAGAAGCTGCTTCTTAATAAAACTATTAAGAGGTAAACAAACAACCCCTTGGTTAATACAAGAGAGGGTTCGGGGTAAAAAAAAAAAGTTGTATGCGTCCCATCTCCCGTGTTGGGTTTGATATCGAACTTATCAAGCGCAAATCTAATACGTCAACAATTGACTTGGTTTACTTGACTCGATCAAATTCATATCAGATATATATTTTGAAAGTGCAACTCGTTACACCTTTCTAAGTGAAATATTACAACATACTGCTTATTATCTTATATTTTCATAGCAATAATGATTTGATTGCAACATAAACTTAAGTACGTAAATGTAAAAATAAAGAACATGACCTTTAAAGGTTTTTATTTCTCTAACAACTTTGAAAAAAAATCATGGAAGAAATAGCATATCGACATATGAATGTGATCTAGTGGTATGCACGTGTATATCTTGAAAAAAAAAAATCTATCCTGTAATGGAGAAATTACCATGCTTATAAAAATTGGCATCGTAATCCATATTCATTTTGGAATTCTTGAATCTGTAACTAAGAAACAAACATTTTTTTTATTAACCTGGATATCCAACCCGCTATGCAAGTCGAGAAATCCCAAGACGACTACATGCTTTGCATATAGCCCAGAGTCACGACATTTGAACCTCCATGGCCACAAGGGGGTTTTTATTCATCCTTGGATTTGAACATGAGACCTCCATGTACTTTTGACCTTTGGAGCCAAGCTCCAACCAACCAGGCACCACCCTTTTCGATCTTCAACTAATAAACATAAATCATAAAAAAAATGATGAAATATGAACTTAAGTCTATCAGGATCTGCCTGTTATATATCTCTTGAGGAAAAAAATTAAATTATGTTAAAAAAAATTACCGCTATATAGCCGGCTTGATAGGTGCATCTCTCGTGTTATATGTGACATAAGGCCGGCCGTGATGAATACGACCTATAAATGGTGAATTGTGAGTCATACGTTTATAGGCATATATTTTTGTCGTCCATGATGGTTTTGTAAACAATTGGTTTTTAGCGTTTAGAAATGGACACATGAAAGTGATAGACATATTTGATATTCATAAAGTAGTGGTCCCATAAATATTGTTTTTTTTTTTTTTCTCTATCTACTAAGTCTAACGTTTCATATATCTAAAAGAGATTTTTTAGACGGGTTTGTCCCAAAAAAGAAGAAGAAAGCTTTATACTCAATTACGACCGTATGTTTCTGATACAAGATGTGGATTTAGAGCAGTGTAGAAATAGAAAAACTCATGATAACAAAATAAGACAATTAAACATATTATTGACATAACATTAAAAAAAATTAACAGTAAATTAAGATTTAGAACTTATTTAAGCACAAGAAAATCCTGAACTAAATATAATTCATCCAACAGTCAAAGTTTTAATAATTGTTTTCATATGGACTCGTTTACGAGGGTTTCAAAATATGCTATCAGATATTTTTAAGAGGGTCGTCCCTTATCACGTTAAATGTGAGATTTTGAATACGACCCTCAAATTTTTTGAACCCAATGTGTTCAATTAAATTTTATCGTTAATATGTCGGTAATTTAATCAAAATATTTTTTAATTTGAAAAATCACCAACGGAATATATTTATTTTTATTTAAAATAAATTTTATCAGTAATTTTTTTTTATTTGAGAAATCATATATAAAAAAATTTATTTTTAATTAAAATAAATATAAGTATTTTTTTTGATATATTTGTTTCATTTTATAGATATAAATAATTTTTTGGTTCAAAAAATGTTTAAAAACTTAATTGTTCAAAATATGAAAGTTAATGGCTTTTTCTCAGACTATTTTCTTTATTTTATCATATTAATCAGTTTTATAGGTAATAAGAATGTATCCAATATATTTTAAAAAGTTCAAAAAATTATTTAACAAATTTTGAAATACACAAAAACTTTTTTATTTAAAAAAATTATCCAAAAACTTAATAATATCAAAAATCAAAGTTCATTTAAAAAAAAAGGAAGTAATAATTGCAAGTTTTGGAGAAGAGAAAGATG